TCTGGATTGGAGAGGGTGCAGGCTGGGCTGAGGGTAACCCCCCCCCCCCCCCCCATAAATTTTGTGCACCAGGCCTCTAGTTGTTAACTATAAGCACAGTGGTGTACAGATTTCTAGAACTTATTCATCTTACATAACTGAAACTTTATACCCTTTGAACAACAATTCTGCATTTCCCTCTACCTTAGCCCCTGGCAACCACAATTTTACCTTTTGCTTCTATGAGTTTAACTGTTTGGCTTATACTACTAATATAAATGGAATCATGCAGTAATTGTCCTTCTGTGACTGGCTTATTTCACTGAGAATAATATTCTCAAGGTTCATCCATTACTGTTGCACCTGGTAGGATTTCCTTCTTTTTAATGGAGAATTATTCATCTACTTTTTGAACTTTTTATTTTTTTAACTTTTATTGATTTCAGAGAGGAAGGGACGGGGAGAGAGAGATAGAAACATCAGTGATGAGAGAATCATTGATTGACTGCCTCCTGCACGCCCCCTACTGGGGATCGAGCCCGCAACCTGGGCCTGTGCCCTTGACTGGAATCGAACCCAGGACCCTTCAGTCTGCAGGCTGATACTCAAACCTGCTAGGGCTTCATCTACTTTTTGGATGGAGATTCCAGATATTGTATATGAGATTGCTGAGATAAGTGACCTTCACATAGGTTTCCCCTGTGTGATAATTTTAAAATATGTCCACAAATTTCAAAGGTTGAACACAAGATTCCTAGAAGTCAGAAAAGGCAAGACTTTAATTAGTGGGTTGGCCTAACTAACTTGCTTCTAATAAAGAGAGAATATTGCACAAATGATGGCATGTGACTTTCAGGACTAGGTCTAAAGGCATTGTTCACACCCGTGATCTTATTCTAGGAGAAATCAGCTTGCATGTCCTGAGGACACTCAAACAGCCCTGTGGAGAGGTGCCTGTGGTGAGTTGCTGAGGCCTCCTGCCAAAGGCCGTATCAACCTTGGAAATGGATTCTTCAGCCGCCGTGGGGCCTTGAGATGACTGCAACCTTGTTCTAGGTCTTGACTGCAACCTCCTAACAGACCCTGAGCTGGAACCACTCAGGTGTGTCACTTCCATCCTGACCTTCGGAAAATGTGTGAGGTGAATAAATGTTTATTGTTTTGCATTGTTAAGATTTGGGATAATTTGTTATATATTAATAGAGAAAAATACACTCTTTCATAGTACTTTTTCAGAGCTAAATTATACAGGGCGGGCAAAAGTAGGTGTACAGTTGTTCATATGAAAAAAGACATGCAGGTTTTGATGATTACAATAGCTTTATTCATTCTGTGTTTTGTACGTACTCACAGCTGTAAACCTACTTTTGCCCAACCATGTATTATTATACTATGTGAAGAAACTGTTCTAACATTATTGAGATGGTTCATTTTTTTTATTTTACTTTTTCTCTCTTTTTTAAGAGTACAGAGAATGGGAATGAGCCAGCCTGGATTGTGCTTACTATTTAGAAAAAGGTGGAAAAGTAAGAAATCACAAATTCCTTTTGAGAAGCAAACTATAGAATTCACAGGAAAGTGACTAATGAGGGATGAAAGGGTCAAAGAAAAAAGGCTTTTCTTCTGCCTCCTTTATTCTGTCTGCCCAGCAATTAACATCATTTACCTTCACAGTTCACAATCAGTTCGTATAATTAGAGAAGGATTAAGCTCTTATCTCTGGGAGAGGATGGTTAATTTAAACTGTTTGGAAACTACTTAAAAAAAAATCACTGCTCTGAGGGATGGAATCTAGATATCATGGCCTATATGTGACCAAAGCCAGGACGATAACTCCACACCAGTACCTGTGCCAAATTGTCTCAAGGTGAAATCACGGCCAAAAAATTTGTTATTTGTAGTTTGAGTCTAGAATGTTGCCTTTCATTGCTGCCAGTGTGTGACTGTCTTACCACTTATTGATAGGACATCATAATTTATGTCAGATAGTGTGATTAGAGTTCACATAACTAAATTCTTTAAGTTTTGTTTTGTTCTTAGATAGTCTCATTCTTTTTGTATTTATTTTGAGTATCTACAGGTGTCAAAATAAGGATTCTAGACATTTCCCGCTTGGCGGGTGGAGTGACTTGAAATTTGTACTTTGAAGGAAGTGGCAGCAGCAGCCTACCACCCTCTGAAACTCAACTGTGAAAACACTGAGTGGCAGAAGGACACTGAAAACACGATGTCTCATCCTCAGTGTAGGTGTCCAGCTGCAGAATAGATTATGTTCAATCTTGTCAGTTGCTTTGTTGAATCCAAGTCCTCAAGTAAACAGAAAGATCTCATGATAAAAGTCTCCTTGATAAAAGCCTGAAATTGTGTGTCTGGCATAGAGGTCAGACTTTAAACAGAATGGAGATCACTCATTGTCCTTCATCTGGAACAGTGTGATTCCTCCAGCTAAGACAGGGACAGGAGATGATATGAATATGGCTTCAATCTAATCCTGTTAAAATTCTCCACTTCTTTCTCATTCTCAATGAGAGCAGGCACACAAGATCCGGGCTTCCAATGAGAACTGCTTCCTAGAGTCTGTTCAGCCTTATAAATTAGTCTACAGCTGCATTTGCAACTGAATCTTTGAAGGACCTTTGAAGGAACCCCCAACCTGTCTGTGTGCCTCTTCAGTCATTTTATTATAGACTAGAGGCCCGGTGCACAAAATTAGTGCACTTGCAGGGGTGGGTGAGGCTCCCTCAGCCTGGCCTGCACCCTCTTGCAGTCTGGGAGCCCTCAGGGGATGTCTGACTGCTGCTCCCCGGAGGAAGTGGGCCTAGGTTGGCAGTTGGACATCCTTGTGGGGAGCGGGCCTAAGCCAGCGGTTGGACATCCTTAGTGCTGCCATGGAGGTGGGAGAGGCTCCTGCCACCACCACTGTGTTCTCCAGCTGTGAGCCTGGCTTCTGGCTGAGTGGCACTCCCCCTGTGGGAGCGCACTGATCACCAGGGGGCAGCTCCTGCGTTGAGCATCTGCCCCCTTGATGGTCAGTGTGCGTCATAGTGACCGGTTGTTCCTATGTTTGGTCAATTTGCATATTAGCCTTTTATTATGTAGGATAACAGCGTTATTGATGGCGTGAAAGAAAAGGCAGATGGAGGCCCTGTTTTGGTGTCACCAGTTCAGGCAGCCACATCCCTGCACTCCTAAAGTGGAGTGATAGGTCTGGGACAACATTCCCAGCATAGAAAATGCATGAGAAACAAAGAAATCTGGCTGACCATGGAGACACTGTGAGTGCCAGGTCACACGGAATCCCTGCATCACTTTATTGAGAGATGTTATGCTGCAGCTGTTTCCTCTAATTCACTCATCTCGTGGCTGGGGCCCTAGGTCAGAGCTTAGTACTCCATCCCCTCTGTTCAAACCCCTGATGTTCCATCTCCTCTCTGAATGTACTCCAGGAATGCAAGAAAATAATTTTATTGAAAGCACAACAGATTCACTGTGACTTATCAGACTATTCATCTAACTATACTTACTTAAAAAAAAAGAAAAGACTGCAGTAAATGACCATGATTTTTCTAGGAAATAAAATAGAAAGAACTGTGAACATGCCAAGCTTTGCTGGAATTTATACAATGATTATATTTGAGTCAAATATTAAGAGCAAAATACATATTTTTGTCAAGTTTACATGTACTTTCCTAACATCCTAACTTGGAGATTTTTTTTTTACTTTCTCTGTCTTTTGTTAAAAAATTCCCCCCCTTACGTTTGACCCACTGACCACCATCGGTTCCTGTCTAGAGGACACATATTTAAAATGTATTTGAGGAAGAAAATAAAATAGTGCCAGAGTTGAATCAAGATGTTAGAAATATCCCATGTGACAGCAGGGTAACTCCCGAATACTTTAATTTAAAAATAAGTAAAGAAAAGAACCAAAATCAATATATATATATTTCTCTTTTTTACTAACCAAATTAGTCACTGAGAATGATCGAGTCAGGCTATGTTGCCAATATTTATATTCTAGAAAACAACTAATCTTCCACGAGAATAATTCACCTGCTATGTGAATTTTATTTGATTGCCCCAGAAAACCCAGCCCTGTTATTAAACAGTGTTCTCAACATTTCTCCTTGGATAGTACTTAACACAAATAAATTGCAGGATTCATTACTAATATCCTCTGTTCCCACCTTGCCCTCTTCCTCCATCCCCCAAGTTCATGGCATTAATGGTTTTGTCACTGTTTCTCAGCTGCATTGTTGTGAGCATATTTGTAAGACAAAGAATAAGCAGAATAACCAAAGAGCTTCTAAGATGGGATGAATGCAAGTAGAACTGGCAGGAAAATAAAGCACCATTTGCAGCCACTTCAGAATTCTTCTTTTGAGATAGGACAGCTGTGCAAGTTAAAGAAAAAATGATAACCATTAATCACTGTTAAGGAATGGGTGTGCTCATTTTCATCACATACATCAGTAACCAATAGAGTAAATAGTGGATGGTATGGGGACTAAAAAAATAATAATAAAATAAAACTTTTCCTCCCAACTCCCAAATTCTTCTAGCTGGGCTAATCAAATTAATAGAGACAGATTAACAGGAGAAAATGAAATTTTAATATGTGTACATGGGGAATAAAACATAAACATAAAAATCCCCAAAGTGAGGTAACACTGGGTATATATGTTATTTTGGACAAAGGATAAAGCGGGTAGGGGGGCCTGAGATTTCAAAAGTGAGAATGGGCAATTTACAGGTAATTGGGGAAGAATAGAACACACACACACATCTCAGGTAAATGCTTCCTTCCGTAGAACATATTTACTTCAAATCAGGATAAGGGCAACACCCTAAGCTTTTCTTCCTGGAGTAGGCCTTTCAGATCTCTTCTTTAAGAGTTTTATTTCTTAATAACCACCTTAAAATCAGTAAACCAAAAGGCAGCTTTATGGTTTTGGTCCCCCTCAATGGTTATAATGTTAGCCTTTGAATGTGCAGTGTCATTGAAAAATTGGGCACTATATTTTATAGGAAGATACTTGTTTATATGCTTGGTCTTTTCAGCTGACTTGACCCACAAAACTTGTTTCTCCATCAGTTAGATATCACAGGTTGGGTTCTCTGGGTAGCAGAGGCTAAAGCGAAGTTTAGGGTATAGTATGTTTACGAGGAAGTGTTTTGGGAATAACGTCTGTAGAATAAGGAAGAAGGAAACAGGACTGGGTAGAGGAAGAGATTGAACTGCTATGCAGATTTCAATAGTCTTGGATAGAAAGATATGTTACTAAAATGTCCTGTCAGAGTTGTCTTGGTTTGGAACAAAATAGCCTGGTCTTTTTTTCCCCCATGTCAACTGTTGGATGTGGGACACCCTAGGAAGGGTGAGACCTTAACTGAGGTGTGAGGTGGGCCTACAGCAGAGACCACCCTGAAGGGGCTGATAGCTGAAGGTGTTTGATGACAGCCCTTTCGAAACTGGACATCTGGGTGGCTAATCTACATGTCCATTACACCAAGTCAGTGACTTTCAACAATTTTTTACTAAGATCCACAATAAGAAACACCTTTTGTACCACCACCCAGGCACACATGCATGCACACATACAAAAGTTTCACAAACTAATAGTTTAGTACTTGTCTCTGTTGTATGTGATATACTCTGATATTTTCTATTTCAAATTTGGTTTGGTTCCATCCCGTATTATTTTATTTTCCTTTACTTTTAAAAATGCTATTTACAACACACTAATTTGATTTCCACATGCAGTTTGAAAATATGGAATTGGATTGATTATGGAAGTAAACCAATTCATATTGAGCAAGTTCTCTAGTGTAAGTAGAATGGGCCAGCAGAGTGTTCCTGCATGTGGTTGGATTATTTGCATTTCTAGGAAACAAGAGAAGTGCCACAGAACAGCTTTGCAGATCTGTGGGCCCAGAGAGGGTGTGGTTCATCACAAATCTACAAATCCTCGAATGCCTCGTTTCAGGTGGAGTGTCATTTGGATTACTTGTTTTAACAATCTGAGCTCCAGGCAAGATTTTCAAAGAAGGATCATAATTACTAGGGAATAAAATAGTCACTGTCAGGGAGTATCATGACTTCCACTTACTTGTACAGTTTCTGGATGAGGTCAGGTATAAATACTTTAGTTTTCCAGACAGTGGATACCTGTGATCTGTTTTACATTACAACTTTCTCAGGAGAGGAAGTACTAAAAGAAACGTTTGATGTCATGCTATAGAGCATATGAATGTTGAAATATATAGGGTAAATGCCTGAATGGGATCGTATGGCTAAAAATTAAAGTTAAGAAAAAAGACTCAATTTTTAGACAAAGATATAAAAAAGATCAAATTCAGGAAGATGACAAATCAATAAATGTTTTTTCTCTGGGCCAAAAACAACAGTAACAAATGAAAAGAAGTCCTGTGTGCTTGGAAATAAAGCAATGAGTTTAGGGTACTTACTTGTACGACATTTACACAGGAGCAAAGTAGAAATTTTATTACATGGACTTAAAATTTA